AGACTGATACAAATCTGCACTTTCTTCCACTACTACAGAAGAACCGGTCTCCGAAAGAGGTTGATAAAAAGAAGGCCAGGTTTCAGACAGATCATTTGGATCAACCCACTTTTTATCCATTGAGTTGGATAAAAATCCTTGAGCTGCTAATAGTTCCCTTATTCTCGAGCTACTAGTTGCCTCATCATACAGTTCTACTTGCGGGGAACTACCCAAAGTGATGGAAGGAAACCGCTTACATGCCAGGGAAAGATCAAAATCATCTGTAGCATCTTTGAAATTTCTGTCAGGTCTTTCATTCTCAAATAAATCATGAAGGCCATTATAAACCATCAAAAACTGATACCTGCAAAGCAATGAAATGTTGGAGTCTTCAATGGACAAGTAACCGGATGTATAGAAGACAGAGCAAAGGAACATTTCAAAATCTACATTAGGTTACAAACTTTCAAATGCCTCATTACAAAGTGAAAAGAATATTTTAAATACATTATAGCAAACTACCAAGAAAAGTATCAACCCAAAAAATACATAAGCATGGAATTTTATCTAAAACTTAAAAATAGTAATTCCTCTCTCACGTTATGAAATTACAGAAAAAATAGTTAAATAATGACAGCACCATTTGACAGTACCAGGAATAGTTTATGTTCAAATTGTTAAAGACATTATTCAAAAGCTTAGTGTTTATGAAGGTCTTATTAGATGGGTTAGTAGGACAGCCAATATAGAGGCGGATGTCCTAGCTAAGGCTGGTATTGGTTGAATTATGTTCTGTTAAGGGTTGTTTCTTTCTGGTTTTGTATCTCTTGAGGGAGATTAGTTTGTATTACTTTGTTATTATTTGAGGTTAATGAAATCCTAGGACATTCTTTTCCTCCTTTTGCTGATTAAGGAACTATTTTCAAGTTTCGTTAATCATGAAGGGGGTTTTTAGTGAGGTCTACTATTCCTATCAAAAAAACAGTACCAGGAATAGGTGACACATGCTACAGGCTATAGACATTCAAACTGGAAACCTATGTGAAAGAGCATATTACACTTCCCCATCCTACTGATTTACGAAAAAATCACTTCAAACTTGGTTGTTTGAGCACAGTTGCTAACTTGTTCTGCAGAGTTTTACGTCAAGGAGTAAAAATGTCAACTTTAAACAAATTTAACATTAGCATGCCACTCTCCAACTGTATCATGAATTCTCCATTTGTTAATTTTAATCCCCCTTAATTTTATCTGTGCAAGTTTCAAAAAAAAAACTTGATGTCAACAATTAACAAGGAAACGTTAGAAATATAAAAGTAAATTTTTTTATTCAAACATTCATTCATATCAAAACATATAATTGTAAGATTTGGGTCCTCAGTACCCTTCGAACAACAAAACAAAAGAAATAAAGAAAATATAATATTAGTCAAGTTAAGTAAAATGTATAATAAATGAAAAATTGAAGGAAAAAAGAGAAACAAAAAGAAGTTGGAGATCTGCTTTCTACAGGTATCAGAAATGGCATGTATCGCTTTTGATGGAAACATAATATAAGCATAGCAAGTGAAGAAAATAGTTCAGTACTTGAGGATATAAAGAGAAAAGCCTGAAAATAAAAAATAACCTTGAATAGCTTGTCATTAGACATCTACCTTATGCAGCAGCTCTGAGCGATCTAAGATACTGGCTGTATCATAATTATTTACTTCCTCCAATAACTTATCTGGAAACTTGTGCTTGGACCGAGAACAGATTTTTGAAACTTTATTGAAGAAGAAATTATTAAACCTAACATTAATCGGAGGCAACTCAAAATAAAACTCTGCCTCAATCATCATGGTTTAAGCAACCGGAAAAGTTAAAGTAGAACATTACCTCATTTTTCTACCTAAAGCATTCCTACAACCTCTCTCTGCTTCAAATACTATAGCACTTCTCAAACTTTGCCCAGAAAAACACTGAAAGCAAAAGGAAAATTTCAAAAGTAGGTAACAAAATTCAGTACCAACATGCTTGGTTTGGATAAGTAAAACAGCTTCCAAAAGAAGTTATGCCAAATAATAGAGTCTTTGTAACAGAAATGCAAGTACCTTTCATTGGCAGAAAATAGCAGAAGAGAAGAACCAATTTATAAGAATGAAAAGATGCTAGAATGAGAGAGTGAAAGAGAAAGAGAGCGTAATAAAATTTCTAATTTGTCCCATTGAAAACAGATCCAAATGACTGTTAGGATCACTAGATTTGGAAGTAGTTACCATTTTCATGTTAAGAGAATATCGTCCTTAATAACATAATTCACTTTCAAAGCAAAAGAATTCAGTATTTGCGCTCAGCAGTTGCCTTTCAACCTAAGAGTTCAACCAGGTAGATTTACAACTAAACAGATAAATTTCCCAAACTTGGCAATGTTTGCCACTAGTCATTTATCTACTTGGCTTTTCACTTGTAGTTATACTTTACAATAGCCTCTCAAATTTTCTAACACACGAGACACACCACTGTTCATCATTCTTCCGATCCAACTCAATCTTTCAACTATTACTCTGAAAACTTCATAGCAGAATCTAAAACAACAATAATCTGACTAGATCATTCATTTAAAAACAAAAGAGAAATCCAGGTACCATACCACGCTACACGAAAGCACGATTGAGACCGTCAGTGCCATGGGATACAAACTTACTGCACCAAAAGAACATGCCTAGCTCATCAAAGTATATATAATCCTGCAAAACGGCTTTTGAGTAAGAATCCAGGGAATAATAAAACCAACTGCCACAAACCCATACAAAAAGAAAACATAAACATTGGAATTTGAAAGACTTGGGTGTCTTTCAAATCAAAGTCTTTCAAATCAAAAATATTTTCTGTTCTCAATACAAGTCCTCCATCAAACAAATTGAAAGATAAAATATCGATGGAGATTATGCAATAAGGACGCACCTGGGTTTTTGGCAACAAAGATTTCCTCTTTTTTTATGTGGATGGCAATGCCTTCAGTTGCTGCGAGCAAATGCTGAAGTATCTAAACGAATTTGAGATAAAGCACATCCACATTGACAACAGCTGCGGAGAAACTTGAGAATTTAGAAGAAACACTCCTCCATTTCGTGTCTGGATTCCTTTTCTATGTTCAGTACCTTTTGGGCTTTTTCTAACGGGTCGTATTCGGATTCATCCCGAACTCAGTTTTATTATTTAAGTCCCTAAATTATTGCACTCATTTTATATTGGTCCAAAAACGTTAAAAATGTTCTATTTCAATCTTTAAACTATCAATATCATTTCAAATGAGTCTTTCAATATTCTTTTGTTATTTATTTTATTTAATAGTTTGAGAATTAAAATAAATTTTTTTAAAGTTTATATAACCAGTTTAATAATTTCCCAAGAATTTTATATTTTTACTATAAATATCTAAATGAATAGTTCTAATATAAACAACAATAACTAATAAGATTTTTTTGGATGAATATATATCTGGTATCTAAATTTGATTTCAAGGTAAATTTTTTTATTTTAATTTTTTTGTCTTATTAGGTTTTTAAATTTGTGTCTTTAGTTCAAATGGATGCATGAATTTGACTATTTAGTTCAAATAATTACTTATATTTTTTAATCAATTTGAACCAAGAAACCAAATTTATGTATCTATTTGAACTGAAAATTCAAAATTTGATACTGATTCAAACAAAAAGCCAAATTTATGTAGCAAATTGAACATTAAAGACAAATTTAGGTACCAAAATGTATATTAACCCTTTTGTAAAAAAATCTAACAAGAGAAAAAAATTTCTACACCACGTGAGCATCACGTGATCAATTGCTCTATAAATGAACCATGAATTAGATGTAGGGTTTTCTATCAGCCGCTCTGCCATCTCCAAGCGATCAGACCTGGAGAAACTTCGACACTGAGATTAGGAAATGGGCCTTCAATTCAATCATCAATTTTTTTTCCAAATAATGTTTCCTTTGTAAAAGCTTAAAGGGCTGTGGCAAAGAGGGGAGAGCAGTATTTTCGTGGCTCTTAAAATACCTGTGGGTTCTCTACAGGCTGCCCTGCCTTCAAATCAGCCCTGCAAATCGAACCATTTTATCAATGGCATCATAGTACGGGTTTTTGTGCTCTTTTATCTGGTGGGTTTTGGTCGTCGGAGTCGGACTCTGGTTTTCTTTACCAGTATTCCTTCTTTCGCCATCCCCGTCAGATTATTTTCACCACATTCCCGCCTCCAAACGCCATTACATATTTCTCATTGCTTCAGTTTCTCTGGCTCATGCATCTATTAAAATTAACTGGATGGATTAATTTGATTTGGGTGAGATTTCTAGCTTCGAAGAGATCTTTCTCGTAGTTTTAGTGACTCTTACTAGAGGCGGCCGCTACTTGATATTCAAATACATTAATTCCTGATTAAAATTGATTGAGGCCTTTGTTAAAATAATTAATCTGTCGAGTTATTGATTAATCTGAAGAGGTTCGGTAATAACAACGATATAAGATTACATGTAGAGACAGTAATTTGATTTGGATATGATGAAGGTTAAGTGTTGTAAAGGGAGAAGTTGGATTTGAGTTTATGATGAGACTTTTTACCTAATTTTGGATAATAATATAAACTTTTTTATATATATTTATGTCATATTTAACGTAAATTTTTATCTTGGATTTTAGGTTGGATAAATTTCTTTAAACTTCGGGCAGATTTGAGTTTGGATTGAATTGATAAAATTTGATCTAATTTGATACGCCTATACGACCCCAAGGATAGTGTAACCATTTGTTTATCGATTAAACTGCTGGCTCCATCAGAACAATGCCCAATAGATTTCATTGATTTCGCCATTAATACATGGACCTCAAGTGAGGGATCTAATGAGATAAAACTTGTATTCGCGACGTAAGACAATGTTTACCTTGTCTTGTTGGGATGAACATTGAAGCCAACTAAACCCTGTTCCGATAGGATTATCAACAACAAGACCGACCAAATAAGCTATTCCAGAAAACGTAATAGTCTCGAGAGATGACATCTGTTCCACATCTTGCCTGTTACATCATGGGTTTCATCAACCATAACAATCTTTGGCTTCATGTTTACAGATAAACAAGGGAGTGTGTTCTTCTTATTGAGTAGCATTGATTACATGGCTTAAAACTACAGATCACTGAAAGCGAACAAGTACACCAGAGCAGTTAAATTCATAGGGTTGCCCTGTATTTGGAAGATGAACCACTTTGCTTCCCACCAAACTGTCCCTTCTCCAAAACCCAATCCTCAATCATAGCCTGAGAATTCAAAGCTTGATCTGCAGGCAATAGATGCCCCGCCCCTGAAACAACAACATGGGTCAAGCTCCCCCATTTTTGCAAGTACCCAGCAACCTCTCCATTCACTTTCCAAATCACTCTATCAGCCATCATGAACTTCTCGATCCCTCCCCATTTCATCGTCTTCATCCATGCTTCCGTTGATACCACACCGTCCCTTAAGTCGTATAACCCTTGATACAATAACACCTTGCTCTTCTCCACCAACAACTCCACCATATACTTGACACTCTTCATTACGTCGTTGTGCAATGCTTCCCCGACAACATCACTGCACTCCTCGAAAACCATCGATTCTTTCACTCCTAACGCTCTCTTTACCTCGGCTATGTTGAGAAATCTGGTTGCTAAACTCGTCTGATAAGGCCTTTTCTTTGTGAAGTCATACAAAGTGGCCAAACCAGTCATGTTTTCCACCATTCTCATGACCTTGTTTCTGGCAGTCGTCGCCTCACTCCAGTTCCCCATCTTAACCAATTCAACAGCCTCCTTTTGTGCTTCCTCAAGTTCACGTTTTTGCCTCTCGTTGACTAAACCGGAATAGTAAACACTGTCGGCATGTGTTGCCACTTGGGTGATCGGATCTGTTAGTCCATCGCCGATAGCCACACCCGCCAAGTTCACTCTTTGTGACACTGGCAACTTGGGGTTTTTATTCAAAATGTAGTACCCGATCGCAGGCACGTACTTCCCTGCATAACTCTCACCGGTAATATAAATAGGACGATCCTTAAACAACGGATCTAATGATGTAAACCCAGTGATGGCAGCAAAGAGATGCTTGGCTACGGAATGTTGGTCTCTGGGAATCTCCTGCTGTGTTGCTGCAATACTAAACCCTGTTCCGATAGGATTATCGAGAAAAAGAAGACCAACCAAACGGTTCCAAGGACCTGGATTGGGGTCAAGAGACAAATCGTGAGCGTTTTTGTTGTGAGAAGAGACGACACGCCATGGTCCGAGCTCGAACAAGTTGCCGATCATGGAGGAACAGCCAGGGCCACCTTGGAGCCAAATGAGAAGAGGGGTTTTGGAGGGAGGGGAAGTGGGGGCTTGAGCTTCGTAGAAGGCATAGAAAATAGCGGAACCGGTGGTGGGGTTGACCGGGAGGTAGCCTGATTTGGTGGGGAGCGCCGCTTTGGGAAAGATGGGAGCTGAAGTAGAGGGGTAAAACGAGGAGTAAAGGCAGATGAGGAAGAAGCAAGCGCTTGTTGTCGTTGACCTAGTTGTTGCCATTATCATCACTAATGTTTCATCCCTTCTCATTGTCATTGGCTTTTAGAATAGGATTAGGTACTTCTGGGGATGAAAAAAAATCAGTATCCGGTTGCTATGTTAAGTAAAAAAAATTAAAAATTAAAAAATTAAAGGATTAATACAAAAATAAATATATAAATTATATACAAAGTTAATGTTAGGTGTGATTTTTTTTTAAAAGTAAGTGATTATTGTTTTCAACATTATATTTTTTTAGATGCTTAAATTATGATGACTGTAAAAAATTGTTAAGTTACTCTTTCACGCTAATGTTTTTTGAATTTTTTATTTTTAAAGAAAAAAATAAAAGAAAAATTATAATTTAGAAAACCTCATTTTTTTCTCTAAATTTAAACAAAGATTCAAAATTTCCCAAGTTCTAAATACTCAAACTTTAAAATTTAACTTTTTCTATCGGCGGTGCCGGTTGAAAACTCCACGTTGTTTACCAGTGAAAATTCCATGCTATCCACTAACCGGTAGAGAATGATGTTAAAAGGAATTTTTACATAAAAGGTACTCTTACTTTTTTATTCATCACAATCATGATTTACAAAACTAAAGTCTTTATATACAGCCACTAATAGTTACTAGTCTAACTAACAAGCTAACAAATTAATAACAGTTTAACTAATTAAATAACTGAAATCTAACTCTCCCCCTCAAGTTGGTGGTTAAAGATGTGAATTAACCTCAACTTGGAAATCAAGTATTCATGTTATTGAACTCCCAAGGCTTTTGTTAGAATGTCTGCTTGTTGATCTGTTGTCTTCACATATTTTGTTTCAATTATTCCTTCTTGAATTTTCTCTCGAATAAAATGGCACTCAATTTCAACGTGCTTTGTTCTTTCATAGAAAATTGGATTTACTGCTATTTGAAGAGTTGTCTTGTTATCACACATCAATTTTATTGGTCATATGTTCTTGAACCCGAGTTCACTTAGCAGACCTGTTAACCAAACTATTTCTGCAGCAGTCATTTCCATACTACGGTATTCTGCCTCAGCATATGACCTTGCTATTGTGTTTTGTTTCTTGGATTTCCATGACAACAAGGAATCTCCCAGTTTCACACAAAAACATGTTACTAACCTTCTAGTCATTGGGCAAGTTGCCCAATCTGAGTCACAAAAAGCTTGAAGTTGGCACTGACGTTTTGCACTTAGTAACACTCCTTGACCTGGACTGCCTTTGATATACCTGATCACCCTCAAAGTTGCTTCCAAATATAATTTCCTTGGTTGCTGCATGAATTGACTCAATAACTATACTAAATAAGCAATATCAGGTCTTGTGTTAGTGAGGTCAATTAACTTCCCAATCAACCTTTGATAGCTTGTCTTGTCTTTTAACAACTCATCTTCTGAAGCCAACCTTTTATTTTGTTCCAAGGGAGTTGCAGCAGGCCTTGCACCCCCTAGTCCAGTTTCTTTGATTAACTCCAATGCATATTTCCTTTGGATTATAATTATTCCCTTTTTTTATCTCAATATTTCCAAACCAAGAAAATACCTTAGTTCACCAAGGTCTTTCATCTTGAAGTTTCTATTCAAAATTCCTTTGAGTTCTTCAATCAACCCATTGTCATTTCCAGTTATTAAAAGATCATCCACATATATGAGCATTATGACAATTTTGCTTCCTTGTGACTTAGTGAACAATGAATAATCAAACTTATTTTGAGAATAACCTGCCATTAGAAGAGCCTCTGTCAGCTTCATGTTCCATTGTCTTGAAGCCTGCTTTAGTCCATACAAGGATTTTTGCAGTCGCACACCCTGGTCTCCCCCTAACTGTAAAAACCCACAGGCAATGACATGTATACCTCCTCAACCAAATCACCTTGGAGGAATGCATTGTAAACATCCATCTGAAAAAGAGGCCATTGATGAATAGAAGTAAGAGCAAGAATTGTTCTGACAGTGACCAACTTTGCTACAGAAGATAAGGTCTCAACATAATCAACCCATTCCCTTTGAGTGTATCCTTTAGCAACAAGACGAGCTTTAAACCTATCCACCTCTCCATTTGAATTATATTTGATTCGATACACCCACTTACTTCCAATAGGAGTCTTATTAGAAGCCAGGGGAACCATTGACCAAGTATTATTGGATTCCAAAGCGAAAATATCCTCATTCATGGCTTTAATCCATACAGGATTTTGAATGGCTTCATTATAAGTCTTAGGTTCAACCAAATGGGAGATAGATTCCAAAGCGAAAATATCCTCATTCATGGCTTTAATCCATACAGGATTTTGAATGGCTTCATTATAAGTCTTAGGTTCAACCAAATGGGAGATAGAATAAAGGTTAAATTGAGTTTTAACAGGAAGATAAGAATAATAAATAAAATTAGAAATTGGATAAGTACCTGGAAGAGAGGAAGATTGGTAGGACTGCACATAATCATGTAACCAAACAGGCTATTTTTTTGACCTTAGTAGATTGTCTAGGAGGGATAGAAATGCCATTTGATAAAGAGTCATAAAAACAATAGGCTGAGGTGAAGGTTGAGGTAAAAATGAGTCATTTACCGAAGCTTGAGGTGATGCAGACTATTCTGAAGAACCAGAAGGTATAGGAGAATTGGGCTGGGTAGTGTGAAAGGGCATGACCAAAAAATCTGAATCAGAAATATCTTGAACAGGAAAAAATAGGGAAGAAGAAATACAAAATTTAAAGGGGAAAATGTCCTCATGAAACTTTACATCTCTATTGATAAAAAAAAGTTTGTTTTTCAAGATTAAACAGAATGTAACTTTTTGAGTAGCAGAATAACCCATGAAGATGGAATGTATTGCTTTTGGAGAAAATTTATCTTTGTAGTTTGGTTGAGTGGCATAACATAAACAACTAAAAATTCTCATATGAGACAGATTGGGAGGTTTACCATGAAGGAGTTCAAAAGGGCTTTTGCCAACTAAAGAAGAAGAATGCAACATGTTAATGATATAACATGTTGTGTTGACACATTATCCCCAAACTTAACAGGGACTTGGGAATGAAATTTGAGGTACCTAACTACCTCTAATAAATGTTTGTGCTTTCTTTCAGCAATACCATTTTGCTGAGGAGTATGAACACAGGAGCTTTGATGAACAATACCCAAGGAAGAAAAGAAAGAAGAACATTCATTAGCAAAGAACTCAGAACTATTGTCACTTCTAATGAACTTAATTGTGACTGAAAAATGATTTTTTACATAGGCAAAGAACTGTTTTAAAGATATGATTGCATCACTCTTAAGTCTCAACAAGAAAAGCCAAGACATTCTTGTGTGGTCATCAACAATGGTAAGAAAACACCTATAACCACTATGAGTGGAAATCCTATTAGGTCCCCATATATCAATATGTATTAAATCAAAGGTTTTAGGTGCTCTAAAAATGCTCTGAGGAAATGTTTATCTAGACTGTTTAGCAAGAGGACAAATAGAGCACTTATGGACACTGTCAGCATGAAACTTATAAGACTGTAAATATGGTTTTTTATGTAAACTAGAGAAAGAATAATGCCTAAACGAGCATGCCAAAGCTTAGTATTATTGATGGTTGAAAGAATCATACAATTCGAAGAACCAAAGGCATGAATACAAGAAAAAGAATTACAATAGGGAACATAAAAAAAATACCAGAACCAAAATTTGAAGAATCAAAAAAATACAGCCCGCGAGACTTTCTACCAATCCCCTTCATCTTTCCAGTTGAGAGATCCTGTAAAATGCAAAAGTCAGGGTAAAAGGAAACACTACAGTTAAGTTCTTTGGTTAGTTTGGAAACATACAGGAGGTTATGTGCAAATTTGGGAATAAACAAGACATTTGTAAGTGAATGATTCTGGTTAAGGCAAAAAGAACATGTATGTGTTATGGGAGCTTTTTGGCCATTATGTAAATGTACAAACCTAGAGTCTGATGTGCATGGGACATGAGATATTAGTCTTTGAAAATCAGATAACATGTGGTCAGTACCACCTTTATCTAATATCCAATTGAAAGAGAGACTAGAATTTGCGGAGTCAATACCTACAATATTTGCTGTTGGATCCACAAAAGGTTTATTGTTCAATAGATGAAGGATCTGATCATACTGAGCTCGTGTGAACATAGGAACAGTGGAGGTAGCATATTGTTGTGACTCAGGACTCGACTGATTGTGAGAACTGAGAGTAGATCAAGTAGAAGCCAAGGCCATCTGACTGCCTTTCTTCTTTGAGAACTTGAAATCAGCAGGAAATCCAATTAGTCTATAGCAATTTTCACGTTTATGCCCTTGAACCTTATAGTAATCGCAAATACCAGAGAACTTCTTTTTGTCAGTATTCCCAGCAAAGTTAGAATACATAACCGAGACTTCAGAAATTGGAGAAAGAACAGAAGAGTGAATCCTCTTCAATTCCTCCTGAACAAGCATCGAATACGTAAGATTCACAGACGAAAGTGGTTGCATAAGCAAGATCTGACTTCGTACAGCAGTATATGTCTCATTGAGACCCATGAGAAATTAAAATAATTTCTGCTGAGTGTAATGAGCAGTTGTGCGTTGTGAAATAGCACAACCACAAAGAGAAATCAGGGCCAAAGCTTCGTACTTGTTCCAGAGTAATTTCAATAGAATGAAATATGTTGAGATTGAAGTGTCACCTTGAATTAGGAGAACAATTTCACGGTGAAGGAAGAATGATCAAGATCCATCAACCTTAGCAAATCTTTCCTTCAAATTTTGCCAAACTGAAGCGACACTGGACGCGAAAACAATCCCGGCCTAGAGCTCTTTACTTACTGTATTGATGATCCAGGATAGAACGAGAGCATTACACATCTCCCATTGTGGATTCGTCAAAATTGTCTCATCGGCAATCACCGGTGACAAATCCCAATTTGTTCTTCGCGAGCAGAGCAATCTTCATGGACCGACTCCAGACACCATATTTCTTGATACCGAGAAGCTGATGCAAAACCAGAAGGAAACTCAGTGCATCAGAGGCATGCAAGAATAATGGGTGATTGAAATCAATTGTGGAATTTTCCATGGCTGCGAAAGATGATAAAAGGGGAAAAATCCTAAATCAATTTTGACCGAAAAAAGCAAAGTCACGGGAAGCTGACTGGCTGACTCATGATATCATGTTAAAAGGAATTTTTACAAAAAACATACTCTTACTTTTTTATTCATCACAATCATTATTTACAAAACTAAAGTCTTTATATACAACCACTAACAATTACTAGTCAAACTAACAAGCTAACAAATTAATAACAACCTAACTAACTAAATAACTGAAATCTAACAAACGATGATGCACGATGGGTGAAAAACGAATAGTTGAAATCCCAAGCCGTCGTTGGGGTCTGTCCATTTGTCATCGGGGTTCATCGTTTGAAAGGGAATGAGACAAGAAAGGGGGGATGGGAGGGAGAGAAAGCAAGGGAGGGAAGGGATACAAGTGGGGAATTTTTTAAATTTTTTAATTGTTTAAATAATATTTTTATTTTAAAAAAAATACAAATATGACATGTGTTACTTAATGGATTTTTTTAATAATAGTCACATAAAAGACGAAAAAAATTAAACACTTATTTTTAACGAAAAAATCTTGAAGTACCTAAAATTAATTTTGTCTTTAGTTTAAGATAGCTATTTTTACGTTATGTCAAAATTAAACTAAGTTATATCTAAATTGAGTTTTCAATTAATTTTTTATTTTTTATATGTTTTTGCTAAGTTTAATTTTTTTCTTTAAATAGTTTGGAATAATTTTAATATAATAATTGTTTATAGTTGCTCCAACGTATTTTTTCTAAAAAATACAATATTTTATTTTAATATTGAGGAGAAAAATGAATTTTGTTTGGCTTTAAACCATAACGAAAAATATGTTTTATTAGAGTAAATATTCTTTCCTTTTCTCCATCATTTTAGAAAAGATAAACTTTAATAATTTATCATATTATGCTAATCAAATATTATTTTTTTACATTCTATTGTATAAGATAAAATAATATACATTATTTAAGATAATTTTATATTTCGTGAGTTAAACACCTCAAAGAAAACTGTATCTTTAAAATTTATATGTTCCAGATATCATTATAATCATAAATTTATATTATTTAGATAAATTATTTACCTACAATTTTAAAAAATAATAATAGAACATTTTCGTTCATTAATACAATAGGTGTGATTACGAGAAAAAACATGGATTTACCCAGAAATTTATATTAGAAGTACAAATTTAAGAAGTTATATTAAAAATTTAGACGACATATAGAAATAAAATTTTAGAAGGTGATAAATTAGATAACTAATAGAGATTTTTTTTAAAATATAAGGAAATTTAAAAAATTTTAGGGTGTGAGACTACAATCCCCTCGATTCATCAAATGTCAACAATTTCTTCTACCACCAAATCATTTGATTCGTACAATTATTATAAACTTAGACATTAATTAAATATTTTCTTTTATTTTTTTCAATCTTTAAATTTAAATACTTAACAAATCTTTATCTTTCCGATCCAAGTAACGAGGAACATAGAGAAAATCAAGCTTACGGATAAAGTGTCGCAAGAGTAACATATCATCCTTAATAGCCGCAGATTTCCAATTCCTACAAGAGTTTCTATTAGGACTGGAAATAAGGTGTTTGTAGTCATTTTCGACAACTTTGTTCCAATTACCAAAGTGAATACGAGGTTAACCAATCTTAACTACAAAGGAGGCTTTAATCACTAATATGAAGTTGGTATTTATTAGTATCCCACAACATTTGATAAGGATTGATCGAGAGAGCGGATAGAGACAATCGTTTCTCTAAAATTTAATAAATTCATCATTTTAATATAAATTTATGCATCTAGATATGTGATTCGCAATTGATTTTCAACATGTATGATGAAAGAGGCATCCAACTCAGGTGCTCTTCAAGGTTTGATCCAACAAATCATGGAGCATAGGATTGTGTTCTTCAAAGTCTTTGACATCACGCTGTGCTTTGTTCCAAATACCGACAAGATTTGCTCGAGTTAATTGAAATACATAATCATTCCTTTTCATCACCTATTTATTTTTGCAGTTTGTTCTAATGTCAGGTATAATTTTGAAAAAAGAAATTATTAGATGACCAAATTAAAACCACATGAATAGGTGGGTGATTAAATTTATAGTTTTCTTTAAAGTTAAGGGTAAGCTACATATTTAATACCTCAACTATCACATTTGTTTTGTTTTGGTCACTCAACTATTTATTTTTAAATTATACATAATAATATTATTATTTTTTTATTTCGACCACCCACCGTTACAAAATATCTAAAATTTTATTATGCTACAATCTTATTGGGTTAATCACTTATTGAGTTAAAGATTATCTAGAGCCTATTTTCATTAGATAATTTGAAATTAGAATTTATTCATTTGTATTTGATCTTATTATCTATTTTTCTATATCTAATATAAATTATCTAAAAATCATAAAAGAAATCAGATATTTGAATTTTGACATCATATCAACGATAGATAGATAGGATCGAAATTTATTGCACGGCCCGAGCTGAAAGGAACAAACTAAAGGCCCCATTGTTGAAAGAAAAGCCTCGCGTCTAAGGTTGGCCAATCCATCTTCTGTTGGTTACCGCAAAGGAAACAATCGGCGCCTCTTCCGCCCAGAAACGAACCATCAAATTTTATATTCGCCAAGGGAGAACAGACTATCACTTGTGGTTTCAGATGCAACAACTTCGAAGGCAGGGTCTGGATCTCAACACAATTATCAAGGTAATTTTAGGAACCATCCTTAAGTTCCAATGATTCTTTAATATATATATATATATATATCATTGACCATTTGGGTTAAGTAGATGGAAACTTAAAAAAAAGGTTTTTAAAAAATTATAGAACATCATATTAGAAGACCATTAAATCCTAATGATCCTATAGGTGAATACACAAGCCACTGATCGGTTTACAATTGTTATAACCTTTCGTTGCAGGGACGCCACATGTTCGATAAAATGTCTCAAGAATAAGACAGTTCCCTCTTAGAAATACTTGAAGTTTTCAGAAGCAATCATAATGCTCTCTAATCTTATTGACGGCTTCAATGAAATTTTGAAGATTCAAAAGTTCCGAAGAATTGTCTCGTACACTGGATTCTATTCCTTTGTTGCTGTTTTGACCTACGCTTATACAAACAACACGTACGTTCAATTGTTAGTTTTTGTGATTTTTTTATCCTTTTTTAGCGTTTTCTTTTGATGGGGTTTGCTTTCTTTTGGTGTTTATGTTGCAGAACTAGAGCTGGGTATTCGAGGGCTGATCAATTCTATGCTTCTTATCCTGCTGGAACGGAGCTTTTAACTGACACTGCTAAGGTGTCTTTCTTATTATTCTTTTCGTTTTATTGCTTTCGTATTTTAATTTCATATTTGGTCTTGATAGTTATACAAAGCAGCATTAGGCAATTGCTTTGAGTCAGAGGAATGGGGTCCGATTGAGTTCTGTATCATGGCTAAGCACTTTGAGCGTCAAGGGAAATCGCCATATGCGTATCATGCAGTAAGTTACATAATATAATTATGAAGGTCTGTTTATGTGTTCTCGTGCATTCTTTTGATTATCGACTTGTGATTTCTTTCCTGGCATGCGTATCATGACAGTTGAAACCTTAATTAGAATTAGGTTTTCTCTGTGTACATTGTTCAAGCATAGTTAAGTTGTTTGTTTTGGAAATTCAATTTTTGTTGATTCTATGGAAATTTAAAGTTGCTTCAAATAGACTCAAGCACCATAAGTGTAAATGTCTCAACATTTCCTGATTTCTCATGATCCTAATTTAGAAATAGTTTGTTCCCCTAAATGTCAACTAGAGCAATCTACCATTACTTTTTTGATCATATGGAGATTAAAGCGTGTTGCTATTAGAAAAAATGGTGGTAAAAAGGGACAAAAGATGAGTTCTAGTAAGGTTCTTGCTTAGATTTCTATATGTATGTTGATAGTACCAGTCAGCAGTTTGAGTTAGGTTGAATGAAGCAACTTCTTTCATTTTATGTACCCATGATACTTGTCATTTCATTCTTCTCTGCCTTTTAAATTTTTCCAATTCCAACATGGCTTATCCATAAGAGGAGTTGCTCAACTGCAGGGCACACTTTTGCTTGGGATATTGTTATTAGTTGGTCATTCGTAACTCTCAGTGAATGAAGGGACTGGACTGTCATAGAAGGCAATATTATATTTGATTTTCATCTCATCCAAGTAGTGCTTCATTGAATCGAAGAAAGCACCATATTGACATAAATAGGTTAACTATGCTGTTTACAGGGTGCAACTAACTGGTCTCAGCCTATTCATTTTCCTGTCAGATGGCCTTATTTTTATTTACTCGACTCTTTTCCTCTTTTTTTGGAGACAATAGTTTCTCTTCTGAATCCCTTTCTTTTAAATAGGATTTATGTCGTATTCACATACACTTAGAAAGGATAGACATCACTAAGGGCATTGTTGTTGTTTGGCCTTAAATTCACTCTTATCTCCCCCTCCCCCCTTGGATTTTCACCAATTAAATTGCCTTTTTATTCTTCCCTCCATTATTGTATTTTGTTTATAAACCACAGAAAAATTCTCTACTATAACTGGCTGGTCTATGCTTCTGTGTCTTTTTCCTTTTTAGGGTGGGGGTTGCAAAAAGAGAGGAAATATTGTAGTAAAAGGCAAATAGCAACAGCATAAACCAATAGCCTAAGCTGCAAGGAACAAGAGGCATGTTAACAGACAGAAAAGAAAAAAGAGCATAACATTTATACGATAATCCTCTCATGCATCATCATTTGACCAATTTTGTTGCTGAGACATAATTAATGCAATGTGTAAAGACAGCTTTGAATCCTCTTGACTTAATACGAATTGGATGATTTTTTATGCTAAAATTTGATCTTCTGTTGCTCAATGCTCGCTAATTCTGATGTTATATGCTTGCAGCAATACATGGCGCACCTTCTTTCTCATGGTCAACTAGACGGAAGTGGCTAGGTGTAAGCTCTAGAAAGAAAACGTATTAGTAGCGTTCATGTGAGATGTACTCGAAGTAATGCTTATAGCAATGTGAGGAGCAGAAACCATACAATTTTATGACGCCAACTTATTCTGTTTAACATAACTGCTACTTGCACCTTTTAATTGCCATTGCACTTTAATATTGGCTCATTGGTCTATGCTCTAGAATTCATTTTTACTTTTACAGCTTACTGATACATAAATGTCATTAATTCCTCTTTCAAACGAACTTGTTTCACTTTACTGATAAGCCTTAGATCAATATATACAAATCTCAAATGCATTCATATCTGCCACCAATTGAAGTAGAATTGCATGTTTCTTGTTTATAAATAGGATATTGGTTTGACGTACAATAGAAAGGCCAAAATGTGCCCGTAATTAAATTGTTTGATTCATGTGTCAAGTGCAGTTGCTGAATCCTGCTGAACTATTGAGAAATGACCCAACTTGTCATTGCAAGATCTCCTGCCTTAAATAACTTAAACCATAAGTCATACTACTCTTTTCCCTTGTCCAGTGTACAACAGAATGTATACAGTACAAGTCCAACATATTTGGTTTAAATAAGACAAATTAATAACCTCCAAAAGGAATGTTATGGGTATAGCGAAAGAAAACAAGAACCAGCAGATCTTTGTTGAACATTTGCAAGTTCCCAAGCATGTTAAGCAACCAGTTATTGCACTTCACTGTGAACCTGGAATGAGTAGAGAAGTGAGATAGATATACCGAACCCTTTGTGAAGTAAAAACACAGCGTTGAAAACATAGTTAGTGTTACATACCCCATGAGGTTTTCTAATGACACCCACACACCTGGAAGCACTGATGCTTTCGCTTCTCAACAAGTGACGTCCATTTTGTCTACGTTTGCCAGAGGCTTTTGGAGTCTCAGACACATTTTGGTTTGCATATTCCGGAGTCCCCGACACATTTTGGTTGGCGGATTCCTGTTTCTTGCAACTTTGCAGGGCTCTGAACGGTTGCACGATTAGCAGAAGCAGCTGTACGTTTATCTGATTGGTCGATGTTATCGATATCATCATTGCAGACTCGCTCCCTAAGAAATAAATAATCACCGGTCGGTAAGAATAAAAGTAGCATATTCAGTCAAAGAAAAGAAAAGAAAAAAAAGAAGAATGTGTATATATTTCTAGAAATTCACCTAGGTTAAGATGCATATTTCCTTCTGAGCACAATGCCTCTTTCATTTTTGCCCTCAAGACACTCAAATTGTTGCCTATACCGATCATATTCAGTCAAAGAAAGAAAAGAAAAACAAAGAAGATGTGTATAATTTCTAGAAATTCACCTAGGTTAAGATGCATATTTCCTTCTGAGCACAATGCCTCTTTCATTTTTGCCCTCAAGACACTCAAATTGTTGCCTATACCGATCAACTCCGCTGGGTTGACACAACACAGTTAAAATTCAACAGCATTTTAGTCTGTCATTTATGCATATAGTGAAACATAACAATTCATCATTTTGTAGTTTCAGCAGCTAAGACCTGACCGTCATTCATCAGTCGTGAGTCGTGACACTTAAAAGACAGTTTATCTTTATGATTTATGCTACTAGATGGATGTTTTACCTTGGATACATGAAGCTAATAAGATCTTTTCCTTGAAGGTATTCCTGAAGCATCTGTGGATGGTATTCTAATATCTATTCGCAATTTAAGATAAGATGAACAAGTAAACACTAAATAAAAGGGGGCATTAAAACGAGAAAAATATCACTCAGGCAAGAATTAATCTCTATGCACATAAATACCTCTCTGTAAATTAGCTCTCGGACATCATCTTCCGATAATTTCCTTCTTTCAAACTCAAATTCCAATTTTGAAATGGGTTTCATGGATGGTTCATTGTCCAGATTTGCCAATCCATGGAAGTATGGATCAGCTAATGCCTGCATGAAGAACAATCATAAATGTTATGAAATATAATAGAGTGCAAGGAGAAAGGATTTAAATCTTAAACTATTAGAACCCCTAGAGTTTACCTCTTCTGCAGTTGGACGATTATTGGGATAGAATGCGATCAGACGCTCAAGTAATTTGAGGGCCAATGGATCTTTATTTGGGAATTTTCTGTGAAAGGAATTGGTTTTTTTTTCCTCAAGCTATTCAAATAATTCCTAGCTTTTTCATTCTTAATCTGCAGATATTATGAATAAATGACATGGTTAGAAAAGATCTTGTCCTTGTTGACAATTCTCATTAATGGAAAAGGAGATGGCAAACCCTTGCGATTGTTTCAGCAGAGGGAGTGCCAAGTAAATCAGTCACAAGATCCAATTGATCCACCACATTCTTCCCAGGAAACAATGGTTTTCCTGTAATCAACTCAGCAAATATACACCCTACACTCCAAATATCGACCGCAGGCGTGTACTGCAGAAAACATAGGTTTTAAAATTCAATTAAACAAAGTTCTTAAGAGGTTTTCCTTATAATTTCTACTAGCAGTGTCTGTGTATGACACAAACACACATATATATCCACATTCTTCAGTTTCAGTCCACAAAGATAAGCTACGCAAAAAAGCTGCTTCGTACTTGAGCAGATATGCAGAAATCATTACACAACAAAAACTAAAATACATTGTTGCTGCCTAATAAAATAAAATCCCTAAAAAGGCCAAGAGAAAGAAATTTATAACTTTTAAGCTGGCAAACAATTTTATAGGAAACAAATTGAAGTGAGAAAAAAAGCAGCAGTATTTACCTTGGAGAAGAATGAACTGCAAAAATCACAAAGGTTCAATTTGCAATCCGAGTTAGCAAGTATATTTTTTGGCTTCAAATCTCTATGGAAAACATGTGCTGAAAAATTGAAAGGAAAATAAAAAGTGGGTCATTTGAAATCACAAATTGGAGAATCCTCTGCAACAGTTGATATGTAAAAGAATCCAACCTGTGTGAATGTATTTCAGTCCCCGAGGAAGCTGGTACAAGAAAAATTGATGGATGCTTGAGGTGAGATCATCGTTTATTTTTATAACATGATGAAGATCAGATTCCATCAACTCAAAAACAACAATTATATCTTTGAATTCTCTTCGAAATGGAGGAAGCATTATGTGTTTAATCTGAACTATGTCTGGGTGGCCTTGTAGAGTTTGATCTCTCTAAGGATCCTTGTGGAGTCAAGTGTGTGCTCAAAGATATTGGCCATCTTCTTGATGGCGACCTTCTCTCCAGTGTGAGTATCGATTGCAGACGCAACCACACCATAACTTCCTCTGCCAACTACTTCCTTTATTTCATATTGACTTGCTTCGCCATATTCCGTGAAATAGTCTTTGCCAAACATTTTCTGATTAAATTAAATAACCATCAGATTCCGTCCGAAAGAGAAGTAGCATGAAAAACTTACACCTAAGCAAGCTCGCAGGGAGTAATACAATGAAAGCATACGAAACCACCTATCAAAGACTTAGATATCAAATTTCTTTAGTAGTGTGGTAATAATACTCACGAATATGTGAATTCAATATTACTAAAAAACATTGATTTACTCAGATTTCAATATAGAGCAAAATGAGTCTGTATTATGAAACCAAATTAAATATCCCAAAAATCTGTTTCTGGAGAAAGAATAACTTCAACTTTAATTTTCTTCAAAGAAATGCTATTATGCAGATCTATAGCAACCTTAACAAGTGAATTAGATACAAATTTTGGTTCATTAAGCAAGAAAAAGACAAAAACATACACATCAAAAACAACTTTTTCTCCATTCACTTTTTAAAAAAATCTAAATATAAGAAAAACTGCACCATTTGGAGGATATTTAAGACTTAGAAAATAATCCCAAAGAAAGTAGTAAGAATAAAAAAAGCACCTTTATGCATACAGAAGCTAATCACTACTAAAAAGTCAAGAAAATAAATTCAACCATCTAATCTTATAAATAAAACCCATTTTTTCCGGTCATTTTCATCCTAAAGGGTAAATTTTCCATCATATGCTTCAATATTGCTCATCAAACACACAATCAAACCACAAAAATTAGAGATCCCAAATCTCATGTGAAAGAAAAACAGAGATCAAATGATTAAGGAGCAAAGAAGAGAAATTACAGTTTTGTCGGCAAAGGACGCCAAACCAGAGCTGAAGAAGCATGGAGACGTGATATTAACATTTGAGAAGCAGCAATAATTTTAACATGTTCTTCTCCTTTTTGACCTTTTATATTATACTATATTTTAATAACATTCCGTAGTATTTTTTTTTTTAAAAAAAGTTATCTATAAGAGGAAATCATTGGTATGATTAATCTATATACATTTAGGGATGATAAACGGGTAGAATTTCGTATATTTTGTATCGTATTCGTTTTAATTAGAGCGGTGATAGGTATAATTTTAGTGGGTAATGGGTGGGTGTGGATTTAGAAAGTTGTACCCGTCGCGTGTAGTGGGCGGGTGATGA